AAAAAAATAGAGACAGAAACTCCCGGAGTGACTTTTTCAAAGGTAAAGAGATAGTAGAAGGTCATCCTGCTATGCAGAAAAGATTATAGTTTGTGACTATCATCGCAAAGTCTTGCTGAGCAAGACTCAGCAAGACATCGCTTTTGTGGCAATCAAAAAACACAGGCAGTGAAAACCATCACTAACAGATAATGCATAAGACAGCCAAATACTGTGGTACAGATCTTCATACACCCGAGACATGGAATTTCTTGAATGCAGTGATAAAATCTAAACTCAATCGCCGAATTTTTTCGGTACCACCCATTGTTTATCATAATCCCTGACGTATCTTCTGTCAGGAACCAGAAATAATCGAGCTCCATTTGTAAAGCATGTAACTACACCTTTGTATGCGGTGCGAGGTACTCCAGCCTATAAACGTGGCACATTTCTGTCTGAACAAACCAAGAAGCAAATACTGAACATCACTACCTTAAAATCATGCATGATATGTAGTCGATCTGCCTTGATGATGAAGTCTATGTTTCCCGTGTATTCTATCCTGTAAATTGCGTAAAATTAGACTAGAATACCAGTCAAACAGACAACCTTAATATACCTAAGGCATATTTTGTCACAGTTTTGTTTATTCTCATATCATTCCCACATTTATGATGATGAAAATTTGCAAATTCCGCATCCCGCAGGCCATGTGAAAGCCATCTGCATCCATGGTCGCTCGAAATGACATACTCATCCAGCAATTTTCGGGTAATTTCAGCGAAAACGTCAGTTCTCCGCATGCTATCTCTTTCTCCCCCCACCCCCCTTAGCGGCGAACGTTCTTAGAGGGCCTCACGACTGGAAGGAGTCGAAAGTGGCTCCATCGCTGGTCGATTAAAACAGCGTCTTTTCAGATGGAGCGCGTTATCTCCAAACACTTACAGTGACAAAATTCCTTGCAGTTCATTATAACCATATATACCATACATTTATTACCAGTGTGAAGGCATATTGACTGAAGATGAGACGGCATCGTTTTATAGTGAAAGAGAGGAAGTTGCTGAACAATGTAATCTGTTATCACATGAACCGCTAATTAGCATCGGGTTCAATCCCGTTATGTTTAAATTGTTTCTATTTCTGGGTTATTTATCCAAAATATGGGTTTGCAGATCTCTAGATGTGATGAAGTCAGTATTTGGTAGAAATAGTTGATGCTTGTTCTCTCGA